CTGACGAACTAGGGAGCGATTTGGCTGCCAGTGCCTTCCTAGTTCCTATAAGATTCATTCCAATTCCAACTCCAACTGCGAGTCGGGAGCTGATGAACTAAAAGAGCGAACTAGTTCGTTTAGGAGCGGCGAACTGATCTGAGTGATCTTAGTCGCGAACTATTAAGCACAAGACTAACAATAAGCCGGTAAACGAGCAGACGGATTAACTAAAGTCGCGGGTTACTCACGTGAATATACTGAGTGAGAATAACTAAAATCAATGAGCTGCGCGAGGTCGCCGCGACCGCGCACGCTGCTCATGAGGAAGAACCCCTCTGTGGTTCGAAAATAGTAGTATTTTCAAATCAAATCAAATCAAATCAAATCGTCTTTATTGTGGACTATAGGTATGCATCAGAAATACAGGTCTTAGATAATAAAAAAAGTACAGCTATGTCCCGCCGTTGAGGCGTTTCACAGTATATTCACGTGAATAACCCACAATTTTAGTTAATTTAGTGTGTGTCACGATAGTTATCATAAAAACAGAGCAGACGAATCACCTGATGGTAAGCAATCGGTGCCCATAGAGACTCGAAACATCAGAGGTGTTTAATGCGTTACCGGCCTTCCGGTGATTAGAAATTTGAGGATTATTGGGGATTTAGGTAATCCCTGAGCTTCGGTATGGGGGGTGGTGGCATATGGGCCTCCGGTAACCTCACTCACACGGCGAAACACAACGCAAGCGTTGCTTCACGTCGGTTTTCTACTCGGCCGTGGTATCACTCCGGTCGAGCCGGCCCATTCGTCCCGAACATGGCTCTCCCACACTTAAAAACCACTATATCTACCTCTATGACTATAAAAATCCACAAAATTTGTTAACACAAAAGTAGTCTTTTAACATCGGACTTAAGGTCCATAATAGCGAGACGTGCAGGGTGGACACCGGTAACGACTCGGGGTATTTATTAATGAGTTCTATACTGTATTGTTGTTAGTGTCAGACTAGAAGTGATTATGTTACCACCTCTGCTCTTACCGCGGGTGTAGCATACCCTCCTTTTTTTTTTAAAAGGGGGAAAATATCGAATGACTGCTTCCGCCTGGGTGAGGTGGGAGGGAGCGTCAGACTCTTACTGACTAAACCGCACCCCAGCATACCCTCCTAAGGGACTGTCATTGACTAAGAGACGGAATAAGGGTTCCGTAACCGGATTATGGCAATAATCCGGTCAGGTTTATCAGAGAGCGCTGCTGCACGGTCTTTGTCTAATGTGTAGTCCCCTACTCGGGTATACGACACCCACCAGGAAGAGTCTCGGTGGTGGATATTTTTATATTTCTATTTACCTCTTCTAAGAAAATATGGCATGATTTTATGATATTTACGTTGTTATAACATATCTAAACATACAGATATTGATTTGTTATCAATGTTCAGATAATGGTGTATTTCGTCTTCTAGATATATTTTTTTTGTTATCATAATATTATATCTATCATAGTTTTCCTGAAATCCAAGTACATGTGGCTTGACAACTAGTATTTTGTATATAGATAAATCTATATATTTTATAATAAAACAGTAGAAATATAAATTGTCTATGTCTATTGCCTCAGTGGTCGACTGATCGCAAGTGCGACTGCCGGGCAAGGGGTCTCGGGATCCCGGGTCGGGCAAAGTATTGCTAGATAAAGATCTCAGTAGTAGCACGGAGTCTGGAATTGTGCCCGGTATATGGCAATAGGCTCACCCCCTATTACATGGGACTCGTAACATAAAAAATAGTGAAAAGTGGGTGTTACATTGTACAGTGGCATTAAGTGCCGTAATGTGCACCTCTGCCTACCCCTTCGGTGATAAAAGGCGTGATGTTATGATGATGACAATTTTTTTTATATTTGTTATTATTATGAGAAGGTTTTTAAGATAGAAAAAAGTCCTGAAAATCCAACGGGAACGAGAGAAAACGGGATAGCGCGTACGAAGTCGCGTGCAGAATCTAGTTAACCTACTATAATAATATTTGCCCTGACTTCGCACCGACAGAAGATGGCATTTAAAGAATTTCCGGTACATATTAAGTCAATTGATTTTTATTGGAACATTATGATAAAGATGTACGTATAATTCGATATGATAAAATGAATCGAAGAGAAATCATGTAGCCATGATTGTTAAAGAAAATCCTGTGTGAAGCTATGTTAAAGTTGAAAGAAGCCTGCATAAGGAGGATATAAGAAGAGAAGAGAAAGACTGCCTCGTTGGCCGAGTGGTCGCAAGTGCGACTGCCGGGCAAGGGGTCTCGGGTTCAATTCCCGGGTCGGGCAAAGTATTACTGGGTTTTTAAAAATTCTCAGTAGTAGCACGGAGTCTGGAATTGTGCCCGGTATATGGCATTAGGCTCACCCCCTATTTCATGGGATTCATAAAACATAAATAGTGAAAAGTGGGTGTTACATTGTCCAGTGGCATAATGTACACCTCTGCCTACCCCTTCGGGGATAAAAGGTGTGATGTTATGTTATGTAAGGTTTTTTTTAAGGGGGAGAAATCATCGAATGACTGCTCCCGCCTGGGTGAGGCGGGAGGGAGTTTCAGACTCTTAATGACTAAAAACCACCCCGTTCCTTCTCCTGCACGTGTAGCCGGAGCCCCGGTTACCCGTTAGGTTCTCCGCGACTCTGAATCGGCAAGGAGAAAAGGTTAAAACTAACTATACGAGATTAAGTATCGACAGCGAGTGACAGTCCACTGCTGCACTATGAGTCTCCTCTACATAGGAGGGTTTGTCATAATCTCCGCAGACAGGCGGGTTGGAGATCGCAGTATAAAAGGTTCAGGTTTATCAGAGAGCGCTACTGCTCAGTAATAGTTTGTCCGACCTGGGGATCAAACCCGAGAGCCCTTGCCCGAAGTGGTCGCAAGTACGACTGACCTAGGAGTCTTGGGTTCGATTCCGGGCTGGACAAGGTAATAAAATTCTCAGTAGTAACACGGAGTATGAAATTGTGGCCGGTATATGACAATAGCTTTGCTTCCTATTACATGGGACTCATAACATAAATAGTGAAAAGTGGGTGTTACATTGTACAGAGGCATAATATGCACCTCTGCCTACCTTTTCGAGGATCAAAGGCGTGGCGTTATATGTTAACTAGCTACTTCCGCGCGGTTTCACACGCTCTGCTCAGCTCCTATTAGTCGTAACGTGATGTTTTATAGCCTATAGCCACACAACACAAAAAGAATTATTCAAATCAGACTTGTAGTTACGGAGATTAGCGCGTTAAAACAAACAAACAAACTCTTCTGCTTTATAATATTAGTATAGATAAGAGTATAAGATATATCCTTACCTGTGATGTATCCAACTTTGCCGCCAAGGTTCCTGCCCACGACTCCCGCTTGGTGACCGCCCATACTGTATCCAACTATGTGATAAAGTGAGAGATCAGCGCCTGTCATGTGATTCAGCCAGGCTATGAACCTTGCTACTCCTTCCCCTGTAATTGTAAATACAATATTTTGTTAATAAATACATTCTTAATCTCATAGTAGTCTGTCATGCGGATAGGCAGGACTATGGAACGCCAATTGGGATGATGACAGGGTATGATAATTAAAAATTAATTAGCCTGTAAGTTAAGTAATGAAAAAAAACATTAGACACGTATTTTTTTATTTTGTCGTTTAATAAAATAATACTTAGATAAAACGAATCGAAGTTTAGGAGTGGGGGCTAAAACGTCATTTCTACGTATAAAATGTACATAGAAGTGACGTCACGCGACATTTCAAATCGATATATCGTCGAAAGTATTCGTTTCTTTAAGAAAGTAAAAATACGTGTCTAATGATTTAAAATAATCTACCAGACGGATATTGAAATAAAAATTAGGTATCTACCCTATTGCTTCGATGCGATGAATCTATTGCAAACACCGTATATAATTTCAAACTAAGTCCTCGCATATACGTACAGTATTGGAATATGTATCAGAGACATTTCTTTATTCATTTTTATGCAACAAGTTCGCCACAACCTTCCAAAACCGCTGCAACTCCTGTGCACCAGGATCTACAGTAGATACAACCATGAAAACACCGGAACACTGAAGTCCGGCGCGTCCCAGGGACATGAGTAACTGTCTTGGTTCCCGCAACGAAGTGAAACAGAAGATATTATAAGAGGAGAAGAAAAAAAACTATAATTTCCACTTCCTATAGAATAATTATTGAGATTTTATTGGATTGAAATTGCATTTGCAGTAGTTACTGAGATTAGCGCGTTCAGACAAATATATTCAGCTTTATATAATACTATAAAATATATGACAGAAGAGTACATACCAAAGTAACTAATAAATCGCGGGTTACTCACGTGAATATACTGAGAAAAGCTCTACTAGTTTCGAACCACAGAGGGGTTCTTCCTAGCCTACTCATGAGTGTGAGTTATTAATTTAGTGTAAGTAGTTCATTTAGTATGTCTCACTATTGGCTAACTGCACGACGGTGGCGACGCGTAGCGTTTACAACATTTGCGGAAACTGTCAAATGTAAACATTATAATTTCTTTGCAAATATAATAAAACCAAATATTAAAATAATATTATTGACATTATTTAAGTGCAATTTATTCAATAGTTTTACTGTAAAATGAATATAATAATAAAAACCGGGTTTGCATCATTCGCATTTGTTTCCAATTTCTGCCGTGTTGTGCGCTGCGGTCGTTATCTGTCCGCCACTACTCGCTTTGCACATAGCCAATAGTTATTATAAAAACAGAGCACATACCAGACTTAACTGTGTTTTTGATCCCAGTAAAGTAATTGGCTATGTCCGCACCATCCTTCCAGTCCACTACTATAACGTTCATATCATCTGCTTCTAAAAACGCTGTAAAAGAAGAATTGCTATAAGAATCCTCTACTAATCACTACATAGTACAAAACTAAGTCTATCCGCCGTCTGTCTGTCCCTATGTATGCTTAGATCTTTAAAACTACGCAACGGATTTTGATGCAGTTTTTTTTAATAGATAGAGTGATTCTTAAGGAATGTTTTTATGTATAATACATGTATATTGCATCCGTGGGAAGCCGGGGCGAGTCGCTAGTATTATATATACATATGTGAAATTTTGTAAGTTCATGTGCATGATTGTTGCTCAATCAAATCAAAATGGCTGAAGGGATCAGGATAATATTTGGAACAGGGATAGATTGTGGTCGGGAACAACACATAGGGTAATTTTTATCCCACGGAAAGTCAAACGAAGCCGCAGGCATTAGCTGATGACAATATAACCTCTAATCCCCAAAGTGGTACACAGAGGTCCACATATCTCGTATATGCATGAGAAGCGGGCGTCTTAAAACGAAGAGTTTGTGTTACATATTAACATAATATTAAGTCTTTTATTCTCGAAGGGGTAGGCAGAGGTGCACATTATGCTATTGTACAATGTAACATCAACTTTTCACTATTTATGTTATGAGTCCCATGTAATAGGATGTATGCCAATTGCCAGATACCGGGCACAATTCCAGATTCACTGCTGAGTTCTTTTTAAAAACCCCACCCGAGAGAGAGAGACCCTTTGCCCGGCAGTCGCACTTACGACCACTCGGCCAACGAGGCTTAATAAAACTATGTAAAGAAATTGTATATTTACCAGATCGAACAATTCTGCTGAATCTACCATCAGGGTGATCTATCCATCCGTGGAGAAGAACAGCTGTTCTGTGATTTGGATTGAAGTTAGAAGCTTCTAATAGTTTCTCATTTCCAAGCAAAAGAGTTTGACTCTCTGTTGGATTTTTTCTGAAAGAGAAAAAAGGATATTAACATAACATCACGCCTTTCATCCTCGAAGGGGTAGGCAGAGGTGCACATTATGCCACTGTACAATGTAACACCCACTTTACACTATTTATGTTATGAGTCCCATGTAATAGGGGGTAAGCCTTTTGCCATATACCGGGCACCATTCCAGACTCCGTGCTACTGCTGAGAGTTTTTATTAAAAACCCAGTAATAGTTTGCCTGACCCGGGAATCGAACCCGAGACCCCTTACCCGGCAGTCGCACTTGCGACCACTCGGCCAACGAGGCAGCTAAAAAAAAGGATATTCTTGAGTATATATTGGTGCCGAAGATAGAAAGACTCCTCAGCGCTGAGAGTCAGGTCAGAGGAAAAAAAATAAGTACATCTCGGCCTCTGACTATTGCTAAGAATAGCCGGATATTTCCGACTACATGACTAATCGATATACCGCTTTCTACTGATAAGCTATGTGTCATAATAAACGTAAACGATACTGTTTGTTTTTCCTTGAAATTGCAGATACAAACACTATGAGTCGTCGGGTCAGTCAACCTCGCTAGCATCAGCTGGACAGTCCCTACATGAGCTGATTACATGTGAATATTAGCTCATGACGATACCTGAGTACGTGTGTCTTGACAAGTCAACCTCGCTACCATCAATTGACTGGACAATACACTACATGAGCTGATTACATGTGAACATTAGCTCATGACGATACCTAAGTACGTGTATCGTTGACAAGTCAACCTCGCTACCATCAGTTGACTGGACAATACACTACATGAGCTGATTACATGTGAACATTAGCTCATGACGATACATAAGTACGTGTGTCGTGGACAAGTCAACCTCGCTACCATCAGTTGACTGGACAATACACTACATGAGCTGATTACATGTGAAAATAAAGTCTGAAAATATGCTCTTACCTTGTGTATAGTAAATAAGAATTCTGTGTATCAGGATCATATTTCGCAGGGATGAATACTTGTCCAAATTTTTTACAGAGGTCCGTAAATCGGACCATGGTATTGACTTGCTGTGGACAAGAGAGAATTCCGTATAAATAGAAAATAATCACAGAAATAAATAAACGCCTGTGACCGGTACCGGGTTTGAACCTTAAAATCTTCAAGAAGAAACCAAAAAGAACCTGGTAATGCACTAGTAACTTCTCTAGTTTAACTAAAATTGCGGGTTTCTAATTGAATCTACTGAGAAAAGCTCTACTAGTAAATTGTATTGTGAACCTGATTGAAAAAGAGTAACCTATGGAGTTTCTTGCTCGTTCTTTTCCATATAAATCTACATCTTTTTTTTTAAGGGGGGAAAATCATAGAATGACTGCTCCCGCCTAGGTGAGGCGGGAGGGAGTGTCAGACTCTTACTGACTAAAAACCACCCCGTTCCTTCTCCTGCACGTCGAGCCGGCGCCCCGGTTACCCGTTAGGTTCTCCGCGACAGGAATCTACACCTTGGAATGAGCAAATAGCTTCACGTTTAATTTTTTTTGTTCACGTTCAGAAGTGCCATTCTGGCCTAATTGAAATAAATGATTTTGACTTTGAATTTGACTTTGACTTTGACGAACCACAGAGGGTTCAATGAGCTCATTGAACCCGCGCGACGTTGCTGCGACCGCGCACGCTGCTCATGAGGTTCGAAACTAGTAGAGCTTTTCTCAGCATATTCGCGTGAGTTTCTTTGCATCAAATTTGCGTTTATCATAGATTAATATTATTTTATGTTGTATTTACATTTACACTAATTTTGTTATTAATTGTTTATCAAAATAATCAGAAACGTGGGGAAATATTAGATAAATAGACAGATAAAATTGGGTTCATAGGTAAATAGATAGTTTAAAAACTAAGATATTGTGTTAGTTACAGTATATTGTTATTAATGTATGTGAATTCGTTCTATAGGTACCTAAAAAAGAATTTTCGAAGGGGAAATTCCTAATATTATTTAGTTTTTTTATAAAATAAACCGGTAAACGAGCAGACGGATCACCTGATGGTAAACAATAAGCAATCGGCGTCGCCCATGGACACCTGTAACACCAGAGGCGTTACAAGTGCGTTACCGGGCTTTTGGGGATTAGGAATTTGAGGATTCTTGGGAGTTTATGGATTGCGCGATTGGGGGAAGGCGGAGTTATCGGGCCTCCGGTAACCTCACTCATACGACGAAATACAACTTAAGCGTTGTTTCACGTCGGTTTTCTGCTCGGCCGTGGTATCACTCCGGTCGAGCCGGCCCATTCGTGCCGAAGCATGGCTCTCTCAAATTTAAAATACTGAAAGCTAGATCACGTTGTACACACAGCCACACATCAATCTATACAAAACCAGTTTATCCTGGTGTCGCGTCCCATCATCTTTCCGCACATTTAACGTTCAGTTTATACTGGTTATGTAAAGCTTTATGTGTCGCCGTGTGTACCTAGGCATTTATTTTTAATGATGATACTGAAATAGGTACCTAAACCTTAGCCTGAATTGCACACGGACTTCTTATCATAGATGTTATCCTACTCAAGGACGATGAAAAGCAGGCGGACATAATGTCATTTAGAAATGAATACAGTATAAAAATATCAGTGTAATGGGTTACCACGAATTTAAAGCTTCAATTAATGCTTAACTATAGAGGTAGAATAAAAGTGACACTTGATCATTTTTTCGTATGGAACAATTATTGTCAAATATTCAAAGTTAGTCACA